AAGATCGATATATTGGATGACTATATTCGGACATCGGAAAGGTTCCGAGTGATTCAGGTATTTTTCGAAGTACTGTAGAGTTACGGGAATTCGCCGGAAGGGTCAATGAGCCTTCGTGGGCTTTAGTGGAAATAGATGGCAGCAAGGAAGTGTGGGGTGCGCCCCCTAGGCCCAAACCGAATTGGTTTAGGGCTTTGGGGCCGTCCCCCTCTTTCCTTGTCCTCTCCTCCTCTTTCCTTCCCTTCCTAGTTGGACTAGGAAAGGGGGAACCTACTCCTACTAGGAGTAGGATTCCCCTCTTGGGGCGCACCCTATGAGGCCACCGGCCCCCTCCCCTTGCTCCTTTATATATGTGGACAGGGGGCACCCCATAGACATAGAAGTTGATCAGTTGATCTTTTAGCCTTGTGTGGTACCCCCCTCCACCATAATCCACCTCGGTCATATCGTGGCGGTGCTTAGGCGGAGCCCTGCGTCGGTAGCATCATCATCACCGTCATCACGCCGTCGTGCTGACGGAACTCTCCCTCGAAGCTCTGCTGGATCGGAGTTCGTGGGACATCACCGAGCTGAACGTGTGCTGAACTCGGAGGTGTCGTACGTTCGGTACTTGGATCGTTCGGATCGTGAAGACGTACGCCTACATCAACCGCGTTCTCATAATGCTTCCGCTTACGGTCTACGAGGGTACGTAGACGATACTCTCCCCTCTCGTTGCTATGCATCACCATGATCTTGCATGTACGTAGGAATTTTTTTGAAATTACTGCGTTCCCCAACATAGCCATGCAGCATGCGATTGTGCATACAAGGTTCTCATAAAGCACCAACTGTGGTGTCTATTCTCAGCTCTAGGTGCTCCATAGAAACCCGTGAATCTCCACTCAAGGGAGTTTTGATCCTTAATTCGCACCATTGTATCAATATGGCCGGAACTATAATTTTTCAACTGAACATCATATTCCTTGGACCAGAAAAGACCTATGCCACCACTTAGTCCTTCACTTTCCACAGCAAAGCATCTCGCGAAACCTAGTTGGTGACGTATATCTTCAACTCTTTTCACCCTGATTTTAGTCTCCATTACAAACAGCAGGGCGGGAACTTCTTGCTTCACAATGATGTGAAGCTCGCGAACTGCCTCGGGGTTCCCAAGCCCTTGGCAGTTCCAACTCAAACAATTCATTGCGATCGGCAGGGCTGCAATGCAGCCTCTGCCGAATTTTCAGGTGTGGGTTTCTTTTTCTTCGTGTCCCGCACAGGCTCTTCCTCCTCTTTCATGAGTAGTCTGTCCATCTCCCTCCATTACCTTACCAGCCATATGTTCAGGGTGTGCGGAGCTGTTGCCATCGGTAAGGAGTAGCTGACGACTTGCAACTGGCCGGTACACTTGTTTTGGCGCCTCTTTCCTCTTATTATTCTGTGATGTGTTCTTCACTAGAGAGTTCACCTCCACTTGTTCCTTGCCGGGAGTAGTTGAATTCCGAGACTCCCTTTGGCCGCTCGTGTGTGCATGTTGTTCTTTCGATGTGCCGTCACCAGATGTTGTCCTCCTTTTATCCTCTAGTGCCCTTAACTTAGGGCCAAACTGCAGTTCCCCTTTCTCAACCCTGGGGCCTGGGTTGGGACAGAAAGGATCTGAATGACCTAGACGGCCGCAAGAGAAGCAAAAGTGTGGCACTTGCTCATATTGTATGTCATATAGATCAGTTTTGCCCATCTTTGCCGATTGAATCAAGATCCATCTCCTCAATGGCTTCTTGATGTCAACAGAGACTCTCGCACGCAGATATCCACCAACATGATCAAACTGAATAGAAGTGGCTACCTTATCAATTTGCTGCGCAATCAATTTTCCCCATGCATCATTTCGCGGATTGTATGGGAGATTTGGAACCCTAGCCCATAAATTGAGCCGATTACACTGGACCTCATCAGGTCTCATGCAGTCCTCAAAATCAGCCAATATGACGACGTTTTTGCTAATATGCCAAGGTGAGCCTTCCCAGATCCGTTCGCGATCGCACTGGGATTCGAATTCTGCCACAAAGGTGTTCTCTCCCATCGATCGAAATTGGAGTCCCCTAGGGTTTCCCCACACCGGCCGAAGTGTGTTGGTTATGGTCTGAATATGGAGGAGATTCTGGTGCAAGACCCTGCCCGCCAATAGCCACTTCTCTGGTTTGCCTTCTTCCTTATCATCGATCACCAGCGATGTCGCCTCCTCATCGGTGATCCCTAGTTTCCCGAGTTTCTCTTCGAGCAGGGCCCTGGCCGTCCGTGGGGAGACCGGATCCGCTGCCCGATGATCGCCGCTGGCTGATGCAGACATCTTCTCGCGGAATCCAGGGACGCCCCGCCATGCAGATCCGGCGTGCGCCGTCGAGTTCCGCTCGAAACCCTAATCACCAGAGGTTTCAGGTCTCGTGAAAAAAACAACGCTTTCCAATGCTTCTGTACGTCTGTCCATCTGATGGTTGCCGAGACGGCGAAGCGTGGCCCATAATATTTTCGTTGTAGAAAAAAGAGTATCAAAGTACTACAAATCAGCCGGATGATGCAAGCCTAATTTAAGCCGCCTCTAGAGATGCCCGATTAGATGTTCTCAGCCGCAGGATCAAGCAGCACTGCGCAGCACGGATCGCGCCCGGTGGCGCTCCATTGCAACGTCGACGCCGCTTCATTGCAACCCGGTGAAGCTTCAACGGCCCCGCGACGCTTCCACTCCGGCAGCTACTGGCAATGCTTCATTGCAACTCCGGCGGGCCCCTCGGCGATATTGCATCACAACAACGGCGCCCCGACAATATTTCATTGCAACTTCGGTGCCCCCGATGATATTTCATTGCAACTCCGGTGGTCCCGGGGATGTTGAATCACAGCACCGGATGTCCCCCGGCAATGCTACGTTGCAACTCCGGCGATGCTTCATTGAGAAAACCGACGAGCCCCCAACTGCAGCACCTCGCCACTCGCTTGAAGCACGACAGAGCGCCGGTGGTCCTCTGTCGCGACAATACCGGCGACCCGATGTTGTGCAGCTCCTCTCCTCAGCCTCCCGTTGTAATAGCATGTGTGGCGAGTGGCGACCGCCACGCACCGTGGTCGCCTGCAGCTCCGGCGGCCGCTTCCATGCAGCCCCACGGGATCTCGCAGCAGCGCCCCTTGTAGCAGCAGCTCCGCCAGCAAACCGCTGCATCGTAGCACCGGGAGTCACAGGAACTGGTACGCGAGCGCAACCCCCGCTGCGGCCTCGATCGTCGGCTTCGTCGTGGCAACACCCTTGCAACACCTCAAGTAGCCGTCGTTGCCTGTGCAGGCGAGGGGAGGCTGTCCTTTTGCTATGTAGCAGCAGGTAGGAGCAACGGTGGCCGTCGGCTTGCAGACATTGCAACAGCGGTGCACACCAACGAGAAGCAGAAGCTGGCGGTAGCGGTGGCCATGAGCTTGCCGGCGTTGATCCTGGTCTGAAGGAAGGAGAAGGAAAGGGAGAGGAGAGGTCTGCGGGAAGGGAAAATGGAGCGAGGAAGACGATGGGCATAGGAGAGGAAATGTGCGGCTGTGGGGATAAGGGCGAGGAATAAAGTAAATTGCACAGAAGTACCACAATTGAGGCATTGAAAGCAGATTGGTACCAAGATTGGTAATTTTTACGTGTCAGTACCAATTTTGAGGCGAGGCCTTGCAAAAGAGGCTAAAAGTGTTGTTTATACGTATTGACAGGGAAACTGACCGGTTAGGCCCGCCCGTCAGGTGCCACGCTGGCTAGTTGGCGCGTGCCCGCATGCTGACTCGGACAAGGCTGGGTCGCACCGTTTAGTTGCAGCCCGAGCCTCCGTCTCCGTCTCCGTCGTGCCCGTCGCCACCGCCGACCGCCCGCGCCGCCGTGAGCTCGAGGCCCGCTCCTCCACGACCGCGGCCCTGCTCCGGCCCCACACGCGCACCTTCCTGACCCCGACCCGCCCCGACCCGCCCCGCCGCGCCCGCCTCGCGCTCTCCTCCATCCGCTTCTGCCGCGGCACCAACTCCTCCTCCGCCTCCTCCATCGACGCCGCAGCTTCCTACGCCTTTGCCGCCACGGCTACCTCCTGCCTCACCTCCTCTCCCCTTCCGCCGCCTCCTCCTCATCATCCCCTCCCCCTCCCCCTCCCCGTCAGCCCCTGCGTCCTGCCCCGCCACCGTCTCGGCTCCCCGCGCTGGCGCCCCGGTGGCCGTGGAGCTGCCATGCGGGATGGCCGCCGGCTCGCGCGTCACGGTGGTGGCCCGGCCAACGAGGAGGGACGAGACGGCGTCGCCGCAGTTCATGGTGGAGCTGCTCGGCACCAAGGCCGTCCAGGGGGAGGAGCCGCCCAGGATCAGAGGCGACTTCACCGGCTGCCCCGTCATCGAGCTCAACACCTGCTATCGCATGCAGTGGGCGCTGCCGCAGCGCTGCGAGGGCCCGACGTCCCGGCCCTGACGAGGATAGAGGTGAGCTCCTTTGATTCCACAGTTCAATCTAGCTTTTTCCTTGCCGTTCTCTAAGAAATTTAATAGTAGTATCTCAATTTTGAAGCTATTTGTTCGTTAAAACCAACACAAATTTCATCAGTGAGTTTGCTTGCTATTGGTTCCAATTTCAGTTGATGGCCTCACCTTTGCCGGCTGAACCAGTCAAGTGTGAGAAATGGACTCGGGAATGTCTGAACAGTGGAAGGCCTCACCTCTGCCGACTGAACCTGACGAGCTGTTCATTGGCATCCTTTCTGCAGCCAACCATTTCGCCGAGCGGATGGCTGTCCGCAAGTCATGGATGATTGCTACAAGGAAATCATCTAACAGTGTTGGCCGGTTCTTCGTCGCTCTGGTAAGTACCTGTGGATGATTGCTACAACTTTGAAGTTATTTTGCTGACTTTGCAAACTCTAATAGAAGACTTCTTTACAAAATGGGAAAAAGAGGCCAACGAGGAGCTGAAGAAGGAGGCAGAGTTCTTTGGTGACATTGTTCTGGTCCCTTTCATGGATAGCTATGACCTCGTTGTTTTAAAGACTATTTCCATTGCTGGGTATGGAGTAAGAAAAACTAGTACGTGTTTAACGGGTCATATCTATTAGTTCCCCTTTCCAGTCTCATGTTTTAGTGCGTTCATGCTAGCCTCTGCCTTTCCTAAAGCAAGCATGGGTTTAACTCCAGCTGGAACTATGATTATGATTGCAAATCCAATGATCGTCTTCTAAACACAGGGTGTTATGTTTATCATGCCTACTAGTGGTATTAGAGTATCATATTTATTTTAGAAAAGAATAGAGTATCATCTTTCTGACAAAGTTCTGGTACTGGTAGTGATATATTTCACCCAGCATACATGAGTGTGATGTAATTTTACTGCTGCTCTTCAGGAATGGGAAGAAGTATACCCACCTTACGCAAACGGACCGGGCTATGTTATTTCATCAGCGCTGAGTACATCGTATCTAAGTTTGACAACCAGAAACTGAGAGTAAGTCATTACCACCATCTTTGTCAGTCAGTAAGTAAATATCGAAGCATTTGTGTCAGTGTGTCTATAGGCTAACAAACGGATGTGCTTTCCCCTGATTGTGGGTTCAGAAGTTCGACAAGACTCGCCAGCCGGTGGAGTATTCGCACGACGTCAAGTTCTTCCAGGCCGGCTGCTTCGACGGTAACTACACCGCACACTACCAGTCGCCGCAACACATGATCTGCCTCTGGAGGAAGCTGCAGTCCGGGAGCGCTCAATGCTGCAACGCCAGATGACAATGAGATTGCTTGGTAGTTGAAAAGCAACACCCGGCTCTCTGGAGAATCAAACAGCAAGGATGAGTTCGAGTTTGATCTTGATTTGGAGGCCCTCTGGATAGTTAGCTTGCGTAATTCGCTCATTCTTTTGGTCAGTGGCTGGTTAATTCAGCTGCTGATTCTGACACTAGCTAGATGCTGACACCATGTACATGTGTCAATTGTTTTTGATCTAGGAACTAACAGCTTTGCTGATCTCACTTGTATACCGGTTGTTCTTATATATACATATTAGATGTTTCGAGTAAATCATTTTGTGTGTTCAGAGCTGCTCCTGTGCATTGTCGATTCCACCTGCAAGTCTAATTGTTCTAAGAAGTATGCATGTCGCAGATGCCGGTTGAAGCTCCACGACATGCTCGTGCCACGCAGCGCTGCGGCAGCGCCCACTACATGCGGTAGCAGGTGTTGAGCTCAATGACGGGGCGGCCGCTGAAGTCGCCTCTGATCCTGGGCGGCTCCTCCCCCTGGACGGCCTTGGTGCCGAGCAGCTCCACCATGAACTGCCACGACGCCGCCCCGTCCCTCCTCGTTGGCCGGGCCATCACCGTGATGCGCGAGCCAACGGCCATCCCACACGGCAGCTCCACGGCCACCGGGGCGCCAGCGCGGGGCGCCGAGACGGTGGCGGGGCAGGACACGGGGGCTGACGGGGAGGGGGAAGGGGATGAGGAGGAGGCGGCGGCGGAAGGGGAGAGGAGGCGGGGCATGAGGATAGCCGCGACGGCGAAGGCGGAGGAGGCTGCGGCGTCGATGGAGGAGGCAGGGGAGGAGTTGGCGCCGCGGCTGAAGCGGATGGAGGAGCGCGAGGCGGGCGCGGCGGGGCGGGCCAGGGTGGGGAAGGTGCGCGTGTGGGGCCGGAGCGGGGCCGCGGTCGTGGAGGAGCGGACCTCAAGCTCACGGCGGCGCGGGCGGTCGGTGGTGGCGACGGGCACGACGGAGACAGAGACGGAGGCTCGGGCCGCGACTAAACGGTGCGACTCAGCCTTGTCCGAGTCAGCGCGCGGGCACGCGCCAACCGGCCAACGTGGCACCTGACGGGCGGGCCCAACTGGTCAGTTTCCCTGTCAATACGTATAAACAGCATTTTAGCCTCTTTTGCAGCGTCTCGCCTCAAAGTTGATACTCACATTTAAAAGTTACCAATCTTGATATCAATCTGTTTCCAATGCCTCAATTGTGGTACTTCTATGTAATTTACTCAGAGAAATAAGTGGCGCGTAGGGCCCAGCTGGAACGCGTCGGCGCGTAGGGCCCAGCTGGAACGCGTGTCGACGCTGTTTTCATCCGGTTTAAAACAAACATTTTCCATAATATTTTCGTTGTTAAAAAATAAAAAAAGGAGCAGTACGTATAATATTTCCAATTAATATTTCCAATTCCCGCTCCGCGTCGCTTTTTCCAAAATTCTTCGTGCTCTCCACCCCCCTTCCTTCTCGAGGAAGACTCCGACCCTCCGCCCCCCTTCTCCCGGAAGAAACCCCACACCGGAACCGCAAAACCCCAGCCCACCCACCCAAAATTTCGATAACTCCTCCTCCCCCCCTCCCCATTCCCTTCCAAACATCTTCCAGGAACACGAGGAGGCCGAGGGGATCGGACGCGAAGGCGAAGGCGAGAGATGTCGGCGAAGCTGCGGGTGGAGGAGCTCCGCGCCGAGCTGCAGCGCCGCGGCCTCGACGCCTCCGGCACCAAGCCGGCGCTGGTGAGCCGCATTCCCTTCTCGAGAACTTCCCTAGCAGCCACGAACGGACCGACCGGGTGCTGTCTCGCGGCTCACGCTAGGGTTCCTCTCTCACACCCACGCCGCCGCCCCATCCCCCCTCTCGCCGCACCCATCCAATCTATTGTGTCTCGTGTCTCTCTCCGGGCGGCGGAGGCGTAGCGGGGCGCGATGGCCGCTGTGGGGCGTGCGCGGCTCGGCGGGCTGACGGAGCGCGGGGTTGGGGGTCGGGGGTCAAGGACGAGCGGCGGTGGCGGCCTAAGGTCGCGTGTGGCAGGCACGGGCTGTGGCTGGCTGAGCGCGCGCGCGCACAGGCGGTAGAAGCGGTCACGGGCTGTTCGCGCTCCTTTTCTCTGAATTTTGCCTCGACGGCACCGGTAGCAGAGTCACGGACAGGAGCAGCAAATCTCTCTGAATTATCGGATTTCCTGCTCTGTCTTTTTGCGTCATCTAGCTGCAATCCGCTGGCCAGCATTTGCTGTTGTGTGCACAGTTAAGTTGCTGAATGTGCGCACCATGTGCTTGTGCATATGTGTATATATGCCCACACCCGCTTCGCTCTTGTGATGTGTATCTTTGTGCTTACAAACATTGAGACATATGGGGATTGTCGTTGTGACTTACGTCCTGCAATTCCTTTTCCACTAGGTGCTAAGGCTGGACGTTGCAATCCGTGAGGAAGAGAAGGAGGCGGCTTCTGCAGCTGAGATATGTAATGTAGATGGCATAGACGGTGTGGTTATGGATGGCGAAGCAGAAAGCAAGAGCAAAAGGAAGAGGAAAAGGCATGGTGAAGGTGAAAATGAGGAGGAAAATGACATTTTGGATGTGGCAAAGCTACAGAGCATGGGCTATCGTGAGCTGCAGGCTTTGGCCAAGGCACGGGGGCTCAATACTAATGGGGGCAAGAAGGATGTTCTACAGAGGTTGCTCTCCAGCCCTGCTACTTCTGTTGTGGATTGTGGTATTCAAGACAAGAAGGAAGTAGCAGAAGGTTTGTTTGTCAATTAATTTGCTCTGAACTTTACCTGAGTATTAACTGTTCACTGTGTATTGGTTCAGCTGATGATGGGAAGGTTGAGGAGCTGAAAAAGAAAAAAATAGTCACAGATGTGATGCTGGATGCGGCACAGCTACAGGGCATGGGCTACCGGGAGCTGCAGGCATTGGCCAAGGCACGAGGACTTGCAGCGAATGGGATCAAGAAGGATGTTATTGAGAGGTTGCTATCAACCCTGCTAATTCTGTGGCAGTTGCTGATGGTGGTTTCCAGGACAAGAAGAAACTTGCAAAAGGTTTGTTGATCTATTAATTGTATTGATCACCGGAGGGTGAGGTTTGAACTTTACCTGTTTTTTGGCATGGTCGTTTATGCATTTTTGTTCGTGCAGGTGGTGTTGGGGAGGTTGAAGAGGAGGTGAAAAAGGAGAAGATTGTCAAAGCCACGAAGAAAGGTGCTGCAGTGCTGGATGAGCACATCCCTGACGATATAAAAATGACCTATCATGTATTGCAAGTGGTGCGTGAGTTTATTATTGGTTAATTTTTCTTACCCATATTGTACCTTGGATGTGTGCACTTCAATTGAAACCATGGTTCACTAAATTCCTACGTCCTATGCAGTATGCATGCTGAGTGAGTTCAAATCAAAACATGATCTATCCATGAATGTCAAACTTAGACAATGCAAAACATGATCTCTCATGAATGTCAAACTTAGACAATTCCTCCAACCAAATTAAATATTTTCATTCATATGGTATCTGATGCATTACATCATGTTCAGGTTGTCACTTTGGCTTTAATATTCATAGATGTGATAGCCTATGGCGGCACCCAAATATACCATCTTAGCAGGCCTAATTTTACCATGTGTTTAGAGAATAGACCAACAAAAACTTTCACTGGCATCCTTCATGTATCATCTTAGTATTCACTATGTAGTATGTACAGTAGCTACAACGCATTCATCTTAGTATTCACAATGTACAGTAGCTACCTTGAACGGTTATCTGTTCTTTCTACTATTTTGTTCACATCTTCGTTATACATATTTTATTGCAGGGTAACGAGATTTATGATGCCACCTTGAACCAGACTAATGTTGGAGACAACAATAATAAGTACTATATCATTCAAGCTTTAGGTTTGTCCTGCAACTGCAAGTCACTGTTGCTTACTAGCACCAGCACCACGAACCTATGAATGATGTGTAACATTCAATGGAAAATTAATTAGTGTTTGTTAACTGTAGAATCTGATGCTGGTGGAAGCTTCATGGTTTTCAATAGATGGGGGAGAGTAGGGGCACGAGGTCAACAAAAGCTACATCCCTGTTCAACACGGGACGAAGCAATAGACGAGTTTGAGGGAAAGTTTGAGGACAAAACAAAGAACAGTTGGTCTGACCGCAAGAATTTTGAGTGTTATGCAAAGAAATACACATGGCTTGAAATGGACTATGGTGAAGTCGACAAGGAAACAGTGAGATTTGGCTTTTAGTACTTACTTTGCAGTTTAGCACTTTTGTTGTTTTTAATCCTGTGGTCTTCAAATTTCAGACTCAGGTTCAAAAGAAAGGTTCCATTACCGATCAGATAAAAGAGACAAAGCTTGAAACTCGAACTGCCCAATTCATATCCCTCATTTGCAACATAAGTATGATGAAGCAGCAAATGATGGAAATTGGTAAGTAACTTGACAGTTCCTGCTTTTTGAACTGACATGAGCATCATAACATTCATCTGTTACAGTGAGCTTCTTATCTGTGTTTATATGCTAATTTGATATATTGTTAGCACCCTGCAATCTTCATGATGTATCACCACCTTCATGTTCTGATGTGCCCGTACATGTATCTGTACAACTTAGGTTTCTATATGATTCAGGAGTTATAACTAGTTAGTTTTAGGAACTGAATACAAAGAGTTAATGGCCATACTAGAAATACATATGATCATCTGCTCAACTACTGGAGTTGGATTAATTCGGTTGAAAAAGATCTTTTATGTTCTATGTTGTCCCAAAAGTTTTCGTTCTTTGTTTTTGACAGGTAGATATACCTGTTGCTTACTCATGTAGCATTTGCTTTTACTAATTCATCCTGCCTAACCAATTAGGTTATAATGCTGATAAACTTCCCCTTGGAAAGCTAAGCAAATCTACAATACTTAAGGTGAGTTATTTTGATGCATCTTTCCTTGGAATTATCAATTCAGTATGCATATTACGCGTTGAAGAAAATCGCATAACATGAACTCTAGTACTTATAGATTTAAATCGGTATGCGGTAACAGTTTGCATTTTGAGGTCTTGGTTTCATTTTCCATTATCTTGTCCTTTCTCTCTATTTTGATGGTGACTTTTCAAAGCTTTCCACAGGGCTATGATGTTTTGAAGAGGATTTCCAATGTTATTTCAAGGGCAGACAGAAGACAGCTTGAACAATTGACTGGGTGGGTCCATCTTCTGTTTTTATCTGACTGCAACCGTTAAATATAACAATTACACATGCCAATTGTTTTTAGTGAAAGCTAGTTCATCTTTGAGGATTTGAAGGGTAAACATCTCCAGGTTTCATTTTTGATAAAATGGTTCGGTCACTAGGATGGACTACAGTTAATGGCTGTTTTGCCTATGTAGCATAGTCGCATAGACTTATCAGGATCTGCAGCATGCAATGATGATAGTTGTGCAATGCATGACATGCAGCATGTAATGATAGTTGTGCAATGCACGACATCATTCACCATATTTGTATGTCATGTTGTTTAAAGACCTATATTTACTACAATTTCTTATATTACCTTTGGCTACAGGGAATTCTACACCGTGATTCCTCATGACTTTGGTTTTAAGAAGATGCGTGAGTTCCAAACTTTCTAGATTAACTGAACTTCCAGCCAATATTTAGCATATCCGGCTATGTTTTATACCTTGTAGGAGCAAATCTGATCTTCTAACAAATTTATCTGACAGGTGAATTCCTTATTGACACTCCTCAGAAATTAAAAGCTAAGCTGGAAATGGTAATAGTATTACTATGTTCGGCATGTTCGGCTTAATCTCAGCATTTTAACTGTCATGAGTTGTTAAAATCTTATGCTCAACAAATGATTCTTTTCAAGAAAACTTTCGGAACAATGGATGTTCTAATATTTATGTGGTTCTGTCTCCATCATGTACACTACTGTCTAAGGAAGAAACTTACCTGTCATCCATCTCAAAAGAGCTATCAGGGTTGTTCAAAATTTATGTGGATTGTAGTTTCACATTCAAATTGTTTTCTTGCAAATATTCATATTTGTATGCCACTATGACTTGCATACTACTGTCTAAAGGAAGAAACTTACCTGTCATCCATCTCAAAAGAGCTATCAGGGTTGTTCAAAATTTATGTGGCTTGTAGTTTCACATTCAAATTGTTTTCTTGCAAATATTCATATTTGTATGCCACTATGAATTGCACCGTTGTCTCTATTGCCTCCGATTTCCATGGAATCTTCTCAGTGTTATTTTGTTGCCTTTTCTTAGGTTGAAGCCCTTGGGGAGATTGAAATTGCAACTAAGCTTCTGGAGGATGATTCAAGTGACCAGGCATGATATTTTGCAAATAAATCTGTTTAAAGTTTGAACTCTGGAGTTACATTAGTTGCAAATTTTTTATTTATCTTTGATTTTCAAGCTTGTGGTTCATGTTATTATGCATAACATGCTTTCATACTGTCTTGGATAACCAAAACTGTGATATGAATTTCTACTTGTTGCTTAAACTTGTTTTCCCATTGTTTTAAGTAACTAAAGCATCTTTGTGCTTGTATACCCTTTGCACATGTTGCAACCTAACTGCAACGTGTTCTGGAATGTAGGAGGATCCACTGTATGCTCGATACAAGCAACTTCATTGTGACTTTACGCCTCTTGAAGTTCATTCAAAAGAGTACTCTATGGTAATACTTCTACAAATAATCTCGACCCACAATGGTATTTACGGCTCTTAAAATTACATATTGCTCACCAGGTCCATGAAGGTGCAACTGTCATTATAACAACTAAAGTGGGGATATCTTTAGCATTTTCTTCTTTTAAAATGTCTGATTACTTTATTGATTGACTTATCACGCTTGAATGGCTTTACTTCTTATCCACTACATTTATTCTTTTAATCTTGTGAATGTTGATGTTTGTCCAGTTTTTTCTTGAAGGATTTTGGGTTTAACCATGTTTGAAAATCTCTGCTGTCCAGATAAAAACATATCTGACGAATACACATGGCAAAACACACTCGGGTTATACTATTGACATATTACAAATGTTTAAGGTGTCAAGACATGGTGAAACAGAGCGGTTTCAGAAGGTCAGTGGGTCTTCCTAATCCGCCGCGTCTAAGCATTTCAAGAGAACTGCTATAAATGTCTATTTCTCAAAATATTCTTGCAGTTTGCTAGTGCAGGAAACAGGATGCTTTTATGGCATGGTTCTCGGCTGTCCAACTGGGCTGGGATATTTTCTCAGGGTAATGCTATCCACGATTGTCATTGAAGCTTTTTATTCATAAGTATAGAAATAGATTTGCTTGTTTGTTTTACTCCCTCCATTCCAAAATATAGTGCGCCTGCGCTTCCCGAGGTCCAACTTTGACCATAAATTTAGCCAACGAGACCAACTGCGGCGGGAGAAAAAATTATATAATTGAAACTTCTTTCGAATACGAATTCACTGATATAATTTTTGCTCCCGCCGCAATCGGTCTTGGTAGTTAAATTTACGGTCAAAGTTGAAGCACGGGGATAGAGGAAGCACTACATTATGGAATGGAGGGAGTATGAGTTATGACATACTAGTTGCTGTTCCTAGTTCCCGGAAATAGCATTTGGGTCCCATCAAATGTACATTAAGATTAATTTACCTAATTACCTTCATCTGCATGAATTTGTGCTTCATCATTATCTGAATGTATTTTCTGGTGGAGCCTCTCTTATGTTAACTGCCTTTGTTTATAGCCTCAACTGTTTGTTAGTATAAATGAATGGCAGTTTTAAAACTAACATGATTCTTGCTCTCAGGTTTGAGAATTGCTCCTCCTGAAGCGCCTGTTACTGGCTACATGTTTGGAAAAGGGGTTTACTTTGCCGATATGTTCTCCAAGAGTGCAAACTACTGCTATGCTTCACAAACATCTAGATCTGGGGTGCTGCTTCTATGTGAGGTCTGTTTATCGTTGTCACCTCCAAGATATCAGGATCTGGGATTTTGCATGTTACATGTTAGCCCAAGCGTTGTATTATTCACCTCATCTTATCCATGATTGAGTGTTGGTTTCAAGAGCCCAACCATTTTTGTGTGGTTATTCATGTGTTGATGACTTGCATTTCTATGTGGTCTGCTTTTAACGTTTACTCAACTTACATCTGCCAGGTTGCACTGGGCGATATGAATGAACTACTAAATGCGAAGTACGATGCTGATAACCTGCCCAAGGGAAAACTAAGGTCAGTTTCTGATGCAACATGCTTTCGATCAATTCCAATGCTCACTTGATTCGAAAAGGAACACCAGTTTTACATTATGTCTTTCCTTACAAAAATCAAGTCTTTATTTAGTCAGTACTATTCCCAGACCACTGGATCAGATGGGGGATAATATTGTTGTGTGTAAAGTGCACAATTCTATCAGTTGGAAACATCTGGTTAATAACATAAATATTGCTGTTGCTGCTTGATACGAGTATGAGAAACATCTGGTTTCAATCATTTTGATGCAGTACCAAAGGAGTTGGCCAGATGGCACCAGCGGAGTCGAAGGTCACTGAGGATGGCGTTGTTGTTCCACTGGGAAAACCCAAAGAGGAACCTTCAAAGAGGGTATGTTGTTTTGTTCACTTTGTCGGTACACTGTTGTAATCCAACCCTGTAGAAATGCAGGAGCTCTATGATGATTAACCATGTCACTGGGAAAACCCAAAGAGGAACCTTCAAAGAGGGTATGTTGTTTTGTTCACTTTGTCGGTACACTGTTGTAATCCAACCCTGTAGAAATGCAGGAGCTCTATGATGATTAACCATGTCACTGGTTGCAGGGTAGCTTGCTGTACAATGAGTACATTGTTTACAACGTAGAGCAGATCAGGATGCGGTACGTGCTCCATGTTTCCTTTAACTTCAAGGGAGGACGGTAGACAAGTCAGGCTCGTGGGAAGCTGGAAACTGGAGGCAATGATGCGGGACCTCCATCGTAGCAAAACCACCTTTTTGTTGAGCAAATGTTTAAGCCTTTCCTCGCATTTTAATGCCGGTTCCAGGCTTCCAGACTCTGATGGCTGATGCTGCGTGCATATTTAATGGCAATCTATTTTCTCAATGACTGCATTTCTTTGTGGACAGCAACCAAAATGAACCCTGATGAACAGTAAAGTTTGGAGAAGTTGTAAAACTTTGTTATCTCCCATGCATGAGACACGCCGTGCATGGATCAGCCGCTCGCTTTAGATGGAGATTCGGATAGATGCACATCTCTTCTAGTTGTATTTCAGCCAGTCATATGTCCTACTCCCACTCCTAAGGCTGTGTTCGGTTGGCATGGTTTTGAAGGGGTTTGGCAGGGATTAAATCCCATACAAGTCAAATCCCTGCCAAAACCACTCCAATCCCCTTGAGACAGGGTGTAACCGAACAAAGCCTAAAGTAGCATGTGCTTAACTGATACTCATGGTCCATGCACCCACTCCTTGCCACATTGCACACTCATGTTTTTTCAAAGTTTGAAATCAAAAGCCTGATTTAGTATCAGGCACTCAGTAAACAAGCCATTTGATGGAAAAAACTTTGGTCTAGGAATTATCTATAAGGGTGTGTTTGGTAGCCTGCGTGTAGGGTGCATGAGGCTAAAAGTTCCCTACCCAACCCACTTTCAGGTGTTTGGCAGGGTGTATGGGCTCTTCTGGGCATAGCCCGTCTGATGCAAAAAAGGCCCCGAGCTATGCTCGCTGGAGCACCCACGTACATGCTAGCTGGGCTCAGCGAGGCTCGGTTCGACCCCCGCAAAAATCTCCTCCCGACCCACTACGCTCACCCCACCCCTCTCGCTGACCTAGCCGCCACCCCTCGCCCCCATCTCTCTCCCGCGAGGCCGCGAACAACCATGGCGACTGGCGCCTGATCTACATCCCCGTCGGCCCCCTGTTCTTCTACCTCGCCGCCATAACCGCCGCCCCGGTCTACCTCACCGCCGCCCCGGTCTACCTCGCCACTGCGTCGGTCTACCTCGCCACGGCCCTGCTCTTCAAAGCGCGGCCGCCGCACGTGGATCTCGCCGCCGCCAGGCCTAGGCCAGCGTCGCCGCCGGAGAGGTAGACCTCCGCCCTCACCCCTTCCTTCCTGCCTCGTTCCCCTCCTCCCTCCTCACCCCTTCCTTCTTGCCTCGTTCCCCTCCGCCCTCCTCACCCCTTCCTTCCTGCCTTGGGCTCACAGGGAGTAGCCGCTGCTACGTGACCAGAAACTGCTCCTCTGTTCCCTTATGATTATCATGTATAGGTGGTCAAAATGATTACAGTAGATGTATAACTTATGATTGTTGTACCTATTATGCTCATATTTTAGTTTGTTCAGTGCTTGTCATGCTGGAAAAAAATCTGTTGTGCTAAGTATCAATTTGTTTGTATTGTCATAGATGGATGAATTGGCAAGAAAACGAAGGCAATTAATTGTGAGAGGAGCCGGTCTAGTGGCTGGATTGTATGCATACAAGATGATCATGTTTAGAAGAGCTAGGCAACAAACAACGAGGATAACCGTGGGCAGCATGGCCGATCGTGCCATATCTAGAGAGTCCAATTTGAGATATATTTATCACTCTAGTGATATAAATTGTTCAAATCAATTAAGAATGAGAAAAGCTCCTTTTTTCCGTTTGTGTGCTATATTTAGAGAGAGAAATCTGTTGTTGGATAGCATCCATACTTCTATCGAGGAACAAGTAGCCATGTTTCTTCTAGTAGTTGGCCATAACCAAAGGTATAGGACACTTCAACCGATCTTTAGAAGATCTACCGAAGTCATTAGTAGGTATTTTAAGGCAGTGCTTTATGCTATTGGGGAGTTGAGAGATGAGATGATTCGGCCTCCCTCCAACCATTGTCATCGTAAAATACAAGAAAGCACTCGCTTCAATCCATATTTCAAGGTAATTATTTTTGCAAACAAATGCAAACAATCAATCCGACTTAAGAATAACAATCATTTGCCTTTTTTTAATTAGGATTGTGTTGGAGCAATTGATGGGACTCATGTGCTTGCTAGAGTCCCAAAAAGTATCTCAGCTGCCTTTAGGGGTAGAAAGGTGGGGACTACCCAAAATGTCATGGCTGCGGTAGACTTTGATCTAAAGTTTACCTATGTACTTGCGGGTTGGGAGGGATCAGCTCATGATGCCCTTATACTTGCAAATGCATTGGAAAGGGAAGATGGGTTGAAAGTTCCTACAGGTAATAAACTAGGGCCTACTACCTAAATATATTAATATTTTTACCCATAGCTAATAGTTGCTATTTCATAGGAAAATTCTTCCTTGTTGATGTGGGGTATGCTGTGAGGCCGGGTTTTCTTCCACCATACCGTGGCACGAGGTACCACTTGAAAGAGTATGGACGAGGGAACCATCCTCAAAATGCTAAAGAGTTGTTCAACTTAAGACACTCTTCTTTGAGGACAACGGTTGAAAGGGCTTTTGCCGCATACAAAAACCGTTGGAAGTTTGTCTACAATAAGTCGTTCCATGGTTACAAGACCCAAGTAAAAGTAGTGCTAGCTTGTGCAATTCTTCACAATTGGGTACTTCAATATGGTGAGGATGAGTATTTCCCACCTGAGGAAACATGGGAGCCGGAACCCAATGATGAAGATCACAATGATATTGTCCATGACAATATTTCTTGGGCTCATAAGAGAGATGAATTTGCAAATCAGATGTGGGCGAATAGAGGGCTAGCAAACATTTGATGTATCATGTGTCTTGGTGTTGTAAAACTATTGCTGTACTATTATATTTATGTGCTGAAACATGATTTTGATGGGCTGAAATATGCTTATTTATGTGCTGAAATGTGTTTTTGTGTCCTGGAATTCATATTTATGAGCTGAAACATGATTGTGAGCTGCTGAAATATGATTTTTATGTGCTGAAACATGTTTTTGTGTGCTGGACTTCATGTTTATGAGCTGAAACATAATTTTGAGCTGCTGAATTATGCTTATTTATGTGCTGAAATATGTTATTAACTTCTGGATTGTCTATGTTGTAGATGGATGATGAGGTGCAGGAGGTTCCAAGTGTTGGTGCTCTTCCCAAGAAGGCCCCCAAGGTCATGAATTGGACTCCTCCTATGTCGGCGTTGATGTTGAAAGGCCTTTCAGAGGTGGCGTCAAGAGGTGCCAAGACTGACAAAGGATTCAAAGAGGTTGAAAAATTGAAAGTTGCAAAGCGTATATCTTCTTTCGTTGGTTATGACGTGTCTATTACGCAAGTGCACAATCATATTCGCAAGTGGAGGAATAGGTGGACAAGGCTTGTTTATTTGAAGGCTTTAAGTGGGGCACTTTGGGATGATGACAAGAAGATGGTAGTGCTAGAAGAACAACACTATTTGGGCCACACTCAGGTATGCATGTCCATGTACCAGCCTTTTTTGAATGCTGAAATGAGTTATCTTAGTGCTCAAAGAGTGTTAAAATGATACAGTTTTGCCAAAAATAATGATGTTTCATAGCTGAAATGATGTCTTAGTTAATTATTTTTGTTCAAATGGTGTTGCAGGATCATCCAGCAGATGCTGAATTGCTCAATTCTCCACTAGAGAACTACGACTATATGGAACTTTGCTTTGCTAATAAGCATGCCACTGGGAAATATGCAATGGGCCCCGGTGTGCCCCTGGGAACGCCTATTGTTGTGGAAGACAAGGATAAACCGAATGTCATGGAGGGGGAAGGAACAACGGATGAGGTATTGCAACATCTTCCTGGATCTAACTTTGTACTTCCTACTGCTAGTGCCACTCAGGACCCTTCTCCTACTTCAAATAAGAAGAGAAAGAGGGCATCTGGCTTGACAGAGGAGGACTCAATCCAGTGTAGCAACATGACTGATGCTATGCGTGAGATTGCAAGTGCTATCAACAACACTTGCCATGCTGAAACACACCCCGACTTGTACAAGGCTGTCATGGACCTTCTTGTGTTTAATCAAGATGAGCGCTTGGCTGTTTTAGATTATCTCACAGAACATAAGGCAAAAGGCCTAAACTTTGTGAAGATGGATGATGAAGTCTGAAAAGCATCGTTCAAGCGAATCTTGAAAGCCAATCCCGGTCTTGTTTGAGTTGTTGTTAGTTGGTGCTTGATGAGACAGTCCCTTTTGTAATGCCTATTATAAAGTGTACTTCAAATTAGACTATGTAATATGAATCTAGTGATGCACTGCTACGAATTATGGTTATTATTCTTATGTAATATGAATCTAGTGATGCATTGCTTCAAATCAAGGTTATCATGTGTTATGTTAATTGTTGATTATTTTATTTATATTATCATTGTTCAAATTATGTTGGCATGGTAACATTTTATTGCTCGAATTGTTCCATGAATTGTCGAAATGTTGTTTCAATATTTGTCTTGGCGGCAAAAAAATCATTCATGGAGCATACCTCAGATACAGGCTACCAAACACAGTCTCTGTGCAACATGTCTCGTCTGATGCAGCCTACCAAACACAGTCTCAGCTCAGCATGCATTAGTACATACATTGCTACCAAACAACTGCAGTTGCATGTACTGAGCATGTCTAGACTAAGCATGGCTCAAATGGGAACAACTATGCTAGGGTGGGAACAGCTACCAAACACACCCTAAATGGACTTTGCTGCACGAACGCTCCACTCATGCATGGGGTGATATATGGAGAAACAATTCCTTATTTAACATTATCTTAAATTTCGTTTCCTTATTTGACACTAAATACCTTTTTCTTTCATATCTAACAACGAGTCTAAATTTTATGCTTTTTATAACACTTTCGTCCATTTTAAGACTAAATAACACCTGAAAAGACCCTTTTGCTCCTCATATAATATGTGTGTGGAGGGCAGTGACACACACACGCAACATCAGTGTGAGGCCAGTAGCACACACATAGCAACACATAAAGACGCAGCAACCACACGCACGCACACACAGCAGCACACACGCACGCAACACACTCACAGGCAGCAGCACACACACACACACGTAGCACACACGCAGCAGCAGCACATACCTAGCAGCAGCTCACAGCACACAAGCATGCAAACATCACACACACACGTACATACGCATGCACTAGCAAACACACACACACCAGCACACGCACACAAACATCACACACACACGTACATACGCATGCACTAGCAAACACACACACACACCAGCACACGCACACAAACACACACACACGGCACACAGCAGTAGCATGGGTATGCGTACACACGCGCGCGCAACATCACACATGGCGTGCTTGGTTGCCGTAGTCTACAGTAGCTGCATTGCACAGCCTTCTCAACTCAGCCTGACTATACAAATGCAGTCTCAAATGCACCATCTGCATATTGTTTAGTTGCCTGCATGCCCTCTTGTCTGCATGGGCTGAACCACACTGCTTGGTATTTTGTTGTCTGCATGTTAGTGGACAAATCCAAGGTATGGTGTTTGGTTGTATGCAACGCCTGGTGTGTGGTAATCTCTTTGGCTAGTTGGTGAGGTTACCAGCAAACTTCGGCACAACAATGTAGCAATCATAAACAGAGCAAAGTATAAACAGAGGATCAACTACTTAAGAGCATATTTCAGATAAGCAGTACCACATTTCATAACAGTTCAATGCATAAACCACAAACATAAATAGTTCAAAGCAGACTCAATAGTAGTACTTAGGAAGAGGTGCCCCGGCTCTAGTCCTTGGCGGCGAAGGTTTCGCCGTGCTTCCCGTACTTGTTGACGACCTCAATGCCATCGTCGTCGAAGATGATGACCTTGAGGGTGTCGGGAGTGAGGAGCTTGAATGCCACCATGTAGCCGATCTTGATCTGATGAACGGCTGCGTAGGTGGCCCAACCCTGATCCAGGGTCACCCTGCCGTTCATCAGCTTCACCGCCAACTTTCAGGAGCAGCCGATGTTGTTCCTGAATTTGAACTCCGTCGGCACCACAACAAAGTGCTTGGTGAAGTCCAGAGGCATGAGGATGCACTCAAACTTCAGTGCAAGGATGACCTTGAAAAAATGAGTTGAGCCATCCTCCATCCTCCTAATGGTAGTCACCCCGTGTCCCGCTCCTCCTTGCTAGCCGTCGCTACTGCTAGGGCTCGTCGTCGCCAGTTCGTGTCGACCCGTGGAGGCATGGACTGAATCGAATAAACGAAGGAACGTCCAGATCGAGCGTCGTGGACGGGAGGTCGTGGTGGTGCTTAACTTGCATATGGCCCAATAGTATACCTGACTTCCATAAGGACCAATAACGCGAGAACAGGATCGATGGCTGAGGAACACCCAATACGTGGTTTTATTTTCGGTGGATTTTTTTAGCGAACGATTTATACATAGTAGGGTGAAAAAATCGCTGGAAATCAAGGTAAGGCGAGCGCCCAACCTCCTACCGAGAGCTCCGCCTGTGACATTACACACACGCGCGCATAGAAACATACCATATGAGGGCAAAATAATTTTTTTATGTGTCATTTAGGTTTGAAATGGACAAAAGTGTTATAAAAGGCATAAAAATTTAAACTCGTTGTTAGATAAGGAAAACATTATTTGTCGATGTCAAATAGGGCATAAAATTTAGATACGGTGTTAAATAAGGAATTGGAACATAAATGTAACGAATACAAAATATGTCACTCAACCACAAAGTAATATATAGAATTGACATTCCATAAATATTTCACACTAAAGGAAAAACTATATCATCTCACATCATGTGGACTGAAACGGCCCCCCATAGAAGAATCGCCCATCGACAACGGGAGTGGCTCAGTAGATATTCGAGTTAGTAATGACAGTGGGTGAGTCTTGCGTCAACGGCGAGGCTTGGCCATTCTGATCGAAGATTTGGATATTGCTCATGAGCGCGGACGCAATCGCATCACCCTGGGAAGGTAGCCACTGCCCATCGGAACTAAATTCGTCGTGTGGGTCTGCACGTATCCACCAAAACGGATAGACGGCGCTTGGTTCGCCATCCCTCTGGTAAATAACGACTTGGGGAAAGACCCAATAAATGCAGGGTCATCCTGATTGAGCCCGTAATACGCCAGCCAGTCTCCCATTACGCCGTCCTGTAATTTAGGGGATAGTTAGGTTCCAACGATGCATAGAGTTGAATGAAATACGTCTGTTAACATTTAGCAAAACCACTAATACGAAACTTGCAAAGCGTGCCCAGCAAATTGGCACAACTTAACATGCAAAAGTACAGTTTTCATGACATGTTTTGATACATATCACCCATGTTGAAAAAGCTAATTGACACGACTTAACATGCAAAAGTACAGCTTTCATGACATGTTTTCATACATATCCCAGATGTCGGGAAAAACACATAACATGCATGTTTTTTTATCATATATCATATCTATTCAATACAACCACACAAATTTTTTAAACCAGTGCACATCAATGATCATATAATTTCATGTTAATTTAAAATTTGGTAAAAAAGAACCAAATAACATGCAGATAGAGCAAAGATGTGTACTTTTAGTAACAAAATTACATGTAAAAAAACCAAGTAATTATACTTATACAAATTAAGCATAATATGAAATATTAATTGCCCACCATTGATGAGAAATTATGAGATGGATTAGATCAACACTGCCCACATAGACTGCTTTTATATTAGCTTCGTAGATACAGAGATACATGTCTAGCTAAGAAAGTGAGATTTCGGGTGTGGACGGATGCATCTTATTATATGATTGGAATCTAAGATGAATTTCACATTATGTTTTCAGGAATTTTTTTTGTATAATTTTACATAAATTAGTAAACATCTCGGGATGAAACCACATGCCAATATTGGGTGGAGGTGTGTACCTTAAAAATTATAATAGTGATGGTTTGTTTGAGTCCCTTGGGTTGGGAAACTGTCTCAATTACACCTCCGAGCGTCATGGGTGCACCCTCTGCCGGCCGAAAATCGCACTGGGCATTGGGGCAACCAGTTTCTTGTAACCCATCATTCTACATCAACAGTAAAGAAGAAGAAGAACAACAACACGTGTTAGTCCATAGAAGGATAGTTAATTAAGTCATGCATCTTGTGGATCCCAAAGCAGCCTACAATCTTATATGTAGATTAAAAAGAAACGAAGGGAGTATTATAGACTCACCGTCCATAGGCCAGCTAAACGGGTGCGCGAATCGCCGTACATCTTGGGTGAAACCTAGAAGAACGACAATGATCGAGGAAGCAATGTAAGCCATCTGTATATCACATCTCTCCATGCATTTGGCGCTGGCATGCATGTTGATATCACACACACTTACCTCCCAGCCGATCTGGATTGTACTGTAGCTGCTCGGCTCACCGTCTCCTACGTCGAAGAGGATGATCGAGCCCACAGTGTACTGCTCGATGCCGAGGTTGAAGTTGTACACGTCCATCGTCGCCATGATCCCGTAGTAACCCTGATCGGATGCTGCTGTCTGGTGCGCAGCAACCTAAGTGACGACACAGCACAAAGTCAAGTTTTTTGTGTTCATCAAGAGTATTAGCGATGGTTTTGGAATATATCTCAAATCAAGAGTATATGCTAGTCTCCCGGCAAAAAAGTAAAAATAAACATAAACATACTTACGTATTCTGTTTGAAAACCAGATTCAGTATCGAGTGGTGAAACTTGACCGAGCGACCATCTTCGGGGGAACATCCTCGTTTCGTTCCTCCACTTTTGGAGGTTTACCTGATCAACAATGAACGTGCAAATTATCAAACTTATTTGTAATTTAGAAATTTGATTAACACGATCGATTATGAGTATACATACCTGTTGATTAGTTGGGTAGAGACGGGCAGCATTGGTTCCAGTGCCGGCCAAAAGCACCATCCACACGGTGAGACGAAGAAGATCAACCATCGCCTCGGCCGGTCTGATTGCACGCTCTTAATCTCGAGACAAAAGAACGTAAGCCAACTTAGTCGATCGGCAAGACATGCAGACGCCACGCGAGCCTATATAGACGCCGGTTTCCTCGTGATAAATTTGGAAGCTCTTTTCCACGATTTATTCTTTTGGGA